TGTTGAAACTGTACTTCCGATTTGATTTGAAACTGTCTCATTGCTATCTGTTTATCAATAAAACTTTGGAAAAAAAAAAAAAAAAAATCAAAAATCCTTCCTCCCCTCCACAGAACCAGGGATTGAACTCAGGCTCTTGCACTTGCCAAGGAAGAGCTTATTCCACTGAGCCATCTCCCTGGCCCCAAAAAGTCCTTATTTTGAAATAAGGTTTCCTCTCAGCACTTGGCAGGCTAAGGGAGCAGGACCATTACAAGTTTGAGACCAGCCTGGGGTAAAAAGTGAGCTCATAGCCAGCCTGAGCTGCAGAGTGAGATCCTGCCCCTTCCCCCATGAAACAAGTTCTCACTATATTCCAGGCTAGCTTTGAACTTATGACTCTCCTGCTTTAGTCTTCCAAAGTGCTAGGATTTATAGTATTAGTGATTGAACTCAGGTCCTCCATACTAAACTACATCTTCTGCACCCACCCCTTTGATTTTTGGGGTCTGCTATCAGACTGGCCTTGAATTTAACAATCATCCTCCTGCCTCAGCCTCTAGAGTGCTCAGATTATAGGTGTGCAACACCACGCCTGGTTCTTTTGAGACATTCTTACAAATTTTCCCTAAGCTAAGCTGGGTTCCAACTTACAATCCTCTTACCCACCAAAATATAAACCTTTCTAAACTGTCTTTTCAACCTTCCATTCCCCTCTTACCAAGAATAATTACTGATGTGGTCCCATCTCCAACCTCTTCATCTTGTGTCCTGCTAATTTCAATCATTGACTTGGCTGCTGGATGCTGGACTTGAATCTGAAAAAAAAAAATCTGATCAGCACTGAATCACCGATTCAAAGACTCTCAAGCTTCTTGATCTTATTATTCATATATTCTTACCTTTATTGTTTTAGTATAGTTCAAGATTTTTATTTTCTTTATTCTTTTTATGTATTTGGTGTAGGGTCTCACTACACAGCTTGGACTTCTAGTGATCCTCCTCTTTCAGTCTCCCCAGAGCTGGGATTACAGGCATGAACCACTAGGCCTGGTCTCAGTGACTAGCTCAGGGAGCCCTGGGGTGGGACCAGTGTGGCACATGGTTTGGGAATTGAATCCCAATCTCTACGCTTGCCTAAGCAGGGACGGTCTGCTGAGCTATTTCACTGGCCCATTATACCTTTAAGATTAACATCCCTCATCTCTAGTACTGTTGGGAGGCAAGGTTTAAAATACTGTACACAGGCCACTTTTGCAAGTGCTTTTTTGGTGGGGGGATATAGATTGTCAGAACTCAATTATTAAGTTTCTAGAGGACAGAACAGTATCTTCTAGCTTATTTACTATACCACTGTGGGTGAACTGTGTTATTTATTATTTAAGACAGGGTTTCAGTGTGTTGTCCAGGCTGGCTTTAAACTCACTATGTAATCTACACTTGCCTTAAACTTGTGGTTATCCTCCTGCTTCAGCCTCCTGAATGCTGGGATTAAAGGTATGTACTACCATACCCAGCAAACATATGTTTTTATTTTTTTAATTTTAATTTATTTTTTTTGCAGTACCAGGGATTGAACTCAGGACCCTGCGCTTGCCAGGCAGGTGCTTATCCTACTGAGCCATCTCCCTGGCCCAAAAGTTCTTTCTATGTCACTTGTGTTGTCTCCATCTCTCTCTCCCTCTCTTTTTTTTTGCGTTACCAGGGATTAACTCAGGACTCTCTGCTTGCCAGGCACATGCTTATTCTACTG